ATTTTAAAATTTATTTAAAATTAATAATATTTTTATATTTGATAATATATTATCTCAATTTGATTGGCTACTGGTCATGTGATATGCATTTATAGAGGGACTTATTATATGTGGGCCAAAAAAATAATATGCATTTACAGAATAAAGAATATGCATTTATTTATTAAGCCCATTAATGGGCCAGACAATTAGTATGCATTTAAAGAGGGTATGCATTTAGGGGGATGTATTTAGAGAGGTCTGACTGTATAAAAGTCTAATTTATACCTGGTCTCTTTTTTAGATTTCTTGCTAAGGTTTATTAGTTGACACGAACAGTCTTTTCTATAAATTTTCGTGCAAACTAAATATTGACATTATTGTTATAATAATTGGTCATAATACTGTAATACAAAAATAGCTTTATTATTTTTATTATATAATAGATCATGCCAAAATCACTAACTTAACTGAATCGGCCAAACAATCATTCGGCTAATTTTTATCAGGTGTTTCAGGAATTATGATATTAGCTATAAAATAAACTTGAAACCCGAAATTTTACAGACCCGGACCGGACCCAGACCTATTACTTTTGAAATTTTACGGACCCAGACCGAATCTGGACTTATGTTATATAGTTACAGACCTTTAATTTAGACCCAGTCCAGTTTCCAGACTAGGTACGGATCTTTAAAAATACCTGCCCAGTCCGGTTCATGCAGAACACTAAAAAAAAATAAATAAATAATATCAGTAAAATATCATCATAAAATTTATAAATTCATAAAATAATCAGAGCATATCATAACATATCAGTATAAAATAAGACGTTTAAAGTTAATTATTTAAGTCTTTATTATATCTTCTTGTAATTTATATAATCTGTAAAATATTTATTATTGATAATGGAAATTTAATTAATCAATATAATATCAACTTAATTTAAGATAAAAAAAAATTTTAATAACATCAGTAAAATATCATCATAAAATTAATAAATTCATAAAATAATTGGAGCATATCATAGCATATTGGTTTAAAATAAGACGTTTAAAGTTAATTATTTAAGTCTTTATTATATCTCCTTGTAATTTATATAATTTGTAAAATATTTATTATCGATTAATGGAAATTTAATTAATCAACATAATATCAGCTTAATTTAAGATAAAAAAAAAATTAATAACATTAGTAAAATATCATCATAAAGTTTATAAATTCATAAAATAATTGGAGCATATCATAGCATATTGGTTTAAAATAAAATGTTTAAAGTTAATTATTTAAGTCTTTATTATATTTTCTTGTAATTTATATAATTTGTAAAATATTTATTATCATGAAATTTAATTAATTAACATAATATTGGCTTAATTTAAGATAAAAAAAAAAAATTAATAACATTAGTAAAATATTATCACAAAATTAATAAATTCATAAAATAATTGAAGTATATCATAGCATATCAGTTTAAAATAAAACATTTAAAGTTAATTATTTAAGTCTTTATTATATCTTCTTGCAATTTATATAATCTGTAAAATATTTATTATCAATTAATGGAAATTTAATTAATCAACTTAATATCAATTTTATTTAAGATAAAAAAAAATTTTTAATAAAATTAGTAAAATATCATCATAATATATATATAATCATAAAATAATCAGAACATATCATAGCATATCAGTTTAAAATAAGATATTTAAAGTTAATTAGTTGGGTTTTTATAATATCTTCTTGTAATTAATATAATCTGTAAAATTTTTATCAATTATTAATGAAAATTTAAATAATCAACTAATATTGGCTTAATTTAAGATAAAAAAAATATTTAATAACATCAGTAAAATATCATCATAAAATAAAGATATTTATGAAATAATCGGATCATATCATAGCAAATCGGTTTAAAATAAGATGTTTAAAGATGACTAGCTAAGTCTTAATATATCTTATTGTAATTTATATAATTGGTAAATTATTAGTTGTTTGTTTTTGGTTGATTTTTTAATCACCAAATATCATCTTTTTTTTAATTATATTTGAATATTATATTAATCTTCTTCATATCAGTAGGCTAATATATAAACGATTCTATTAATTAGTTTATATTTTTTGGTTGATTTTTTAATCTTCTAAATATCTTCTTTTTTTAAAATTATATTAAAATATTATATTAATCTTCTTTATATCGGTAGGCCAATATGATAATGATTCCATTAATCGGTTTAATATCTTATACCCAATTTTAGTGTGTTTGTTTTTATATATATCACCTTCATATCATCTTATCATATAAAAAAATTTCGACCAGTATTATCCTCTTTTTCTGGACCAAGTTCAATGCTATCTATATAATTTTCATCTTGAAGATTATAGTTAGAAGTAATCTTGACAACCTCTTTAACAAGGTTGTCTTTGTTGGACTTGGTATTTGACGGTTCAAAATCAAATTTTGATTGAATTCTGTTACAATCATAACTTTGATTATATTGCCACGAACTATACAATTTTGTTGAATAAGATGGCCGCCTCTTCCAGGAAGGGGATATTGTTTGGTACTAAATGATTGTTACTCATAACTATTGGCATATATACATTTTAAAAAATCATTAGAATTTCATATATATGAAAATTATAAAAAAGTAAAAGCTAATTTAAAAGAGCAACCTTGCTTAAGAGATATAGTTGAGCTTGCGAAGTTGACACTATTAAGTATGCCTATATAATGTACATTAGATCTTGGTATGAGATTGATCTTGTTGTATCCAATATATTTAATATTGTTCATCTTTGTCTCATAATGAAAACATTAGATTGAAAGTAGCCTATTTTTGTTAACTAAACCTTTAGATCAAAGCTAGAAAAGTACTAATTTACCTGTTATTGTTGGCAAATAACAGCACCATTACACATACGCCGTGATATTCGTTAAATTTTACACGTGGTCTGCAAATTTTCATAAATAGCCATTTTTATATCAATGATAGTAATGATAGAAATCTCTTGTTAAGTATTGTAATTTCTATTGTAAAATTAGAACCTATTATATTTTTTTTTGTTAAAAAAATAGGGTGGGTGGCCCCAAAAGTGCTAGTAATGCATGTAGGTAGTTGGCCTACATTAACTTAATTTAACTCGGTACTCTTCATTAATTTAACCAAATTAGATTTTCAAATTTTTTGAATCAAAAAAAAAAAAAAAAAATTTGGCCTACTTTATAGTAAAATTAATCTGGAAATATTTTTTAATAAATGAAGCCTGTAGTTTTGTTAATAATAAGTTATGTCATGGCACTTCCGGGCCACCTTGGATGATTTACTAATGCATGTTGACAAAAGTCAACTGATCAAAAAAAAACAGAGGAGTATGGTCAGAATAGGGTATCAAGGATTATGTGATGTTGCGATATACATATAGTTTACCATTTTTCGCTTCACATAATTAAAGATAAAAGGCATAAAATACACATAGGTGAGATGTGATTAGTGAAAGAGGTGTTTGACAGGTGAAAATTAAAATCCAAATAAGAAATCGCATAATTCGCACCATCACATAATTTGACCTTGATCGCACGCATAATTTACTCTATCACATTGCATAATTCTGAACACTCTAGGTCAGGATTACATGCCATGTGCTACAACTCTTCCCTAATAGTGCAACAGAACAATCAATGTTATATGACTGATTTTTCACCCGGTGTGCAACAAAAAAAATATATTTTACAATACTAAATCATTTCGCTAGTAAATGCTATGATTATAATCCCATACCATTTTTATTATAATAAAAATGGTGTGGGATTATAATCATAGCATGTACTAGCAGAATAATCTAGTATTGTAAAATATGTTGTACACTGGGTGAAAAATCAGTCATATAACATCGACGGTTCCTCTGCAAGTTAGAGATCGAAAGAGACATCAGACCACATCAATTTTCATGCAAACACAGCTGCGTAACAAAAAAGCCACCAACCTCAATCTATATAAAAGAGTGATGAATAAATTAATTCTCAACATTCTTCTCTTTCCTCTTGCAACACAACTAAAACATTATAACTGTCATTTTCTCAACCCAACTTTTCCCATTACACACAGGAGAACACTCTCCTGATTTTGCCATTTTCCTATTTAACAGTTAGCCTGCTTCAAGCAGGCAGGAAACCACCAGCTGATGCTGCTTCTTACTCATTTTACTGTTACGATAATACCTGGGCGTAATTTCACTTGCTAATTTTCTCGGGAGCATATTATCGTTTCAAATTACTCAGTTCAAAATTACTTACAATATACTTTGGCTAGCCGACATTATTGTAATTACATGACCAATTGTATCTATGCTTTTTGACAGAATAAATTCAATTTTGTCATATAATGATTTCAAAAAAACTCAATAATTAAAATATCCAAACCTGGATTCACAAGAAAGTGAACACCAAATTACTTTTTACATTGTTAGAAAAAAATTAAACCAATACAGGAATACCAATTTTACCTATTTTCGCTTACATATAATTAAAACTTCCCTAAAAGAAAATTAAATTATAAATCAAAGTAAGCAAATAAAGTTAGTAAAATATACTTTTGAAAGAAAAGTCCTGATCTTTTCTTTTGTTTCTTCAAGTGCATATCTTCCAACTATTTTAAGAAATTTAAGAAATGTACAGGGTGCAACAAGTAAATCGTTCGATACCTCTATACTTAAAATTTCTCTGGACAAAACAAATGTGAATCAGTGGTACTGTCTCTATATTGTTATTTTAAGAAATAGAATTAAATTGTATAAGGTATAATAAAATTTAATAGGATGAATTTCCCAGAAGTATTAAATATAAAATTAACAGTAACCCTGATCATAAATTATAGTATTTAAGTATTTATTTAGGGACAGCAATAATTATATGCTCCAATTATTTTAGCCTTAATTGAATATGTCAATTCGTGCAATTTTTATATATTAAATTGTTTTAATTGCCAACACTGTTTTTATCCGCAACTATTAAGGATATTTAAGAAATTAAATTGATGAAATACATCAAAAACATGAACTGAATATTGTTATAACTACCTCCTGAACTTGGATAGAATCACTTCATACTTGCATAAACTTCTATTACAAATAATTGGGGGTGAGTCAATAGAAATCAAGCAAATTTTTTATAATAAAAATTTTTTATAACTTTAAACAAAAATAACTTAATGAAACCTTGACCAAATTTAACAAAAATTTTTTAAAATAATTTTTACAAACTTGTAGAATTAATTTAAAAAAAATTTTATTAAATTTGATTAAGTTTTTGTTAAGTTATCCTTGTTTAAAGTTTTTAAAAAACTTATTAAAAAAAATTTGCTTGGTTTCTATTGACTCAACCCCAATTAGCCAATTGTTAGTATATTCTATTATAAATGTGATCGAATTCAGACCATAACTAACAAAATTCACTCAAGATACTAATTTGATTACTCTTTACTTATTTTTATTTGATTCATTATTCTGATAATTAATAGTAACCTCTGATAAATTTAACCATTCTTGTTTGTTCTTTTATTCTCTTTTCAGTTTTCTTTTTTCACTCTTTGTTTTTTCATTTATTCTTCAATTTTCTTTTTTCGCACTTTATTTATTTTTTATTTTTTTGGATTTTCTCTTTCTTCAGATTCTTCCTTTCTTTATTGTTTCTTTATTAATTCTTTTTCTACATTCTTTATTTCTCTAAAAATGCAAACCCCAATTACATCAAAATATATAAATTTTATATCTACAAAAAGCTAATTAACAAATATCAAGAATTCTGTAATGCATTTGTATACAATTGAATGGTCAACGACGAGGATCCAAAATACCCGAAAGAAACTGTGTGTAAAGAATCTAACAATGCTTGGAAAGAAATTAAAAGCATACCCAAGAATGAAATCGAAAATTCTATAGAACACCTAATTACAAATGCTAACGCTACTATTCAATATCTAAATCCTCTCGAAATTTTAAACACTACTATTTCAATTTAAAATTGAGTAATTGAGGAAGTAGTTACTATTAATATGGCACTACCAAATGCTGTAGCGCAAAAGAAGGCAATAGAAATCATTGCTAAAACAAATGGTGAAATTACAAAGTACCAAAAGGCCTATAACTCGACAATTAATCCAGTGACTCAATGTGAGCTAATGGATCAAATAAATGACCTTAAACAAGTTCTTAATACAGAGGATAAGAAAATCTAATTCCTAAAACGAAATGCTGCCTACCAGCATAAATGTAAAGAGAAAAAAGACAAGGATTTAACAGAAAATCAACAGGTTGTGAAGTATGACTCGCCTGGGCGCCCTTCTTTCCTGTATAAGTACCTGAACATACTAGATCACATTCATGAGTGCATTGAGTTCAGGGCTGCTGATAACAAAAGGAGAAAAGAAGTTATTAAAGTTCGAACAGTGAGTTATTTAAAAGATGAATTGGAATCAAAATATGACAAACATCTCTCTTGCTCTGCTGTGAGCAATTACCTTTTGCTATGTCGTGTATGCTCAATAGAAGCAAAAAATCACTATTATCTGACAAATGTTTGGGTCAGTAATATGATTCATACTCTACATTCATATAATATAAAAATATCTAATTATATACAAATTAGAAGTTATTTATTTTTATTTAACATTAACTTTTTTAATAACATGCTTTATACCTTGTTCATTCTACCTGTTAATAATGCTAGTTCAGGTTGCATCTGTATTAAAAACAAAAAGGAAGAACATGAAGATAAGCATTATTGTTTTTCCTCTGTAAAGGTGGCAAGACAATTTGTCTCTCTTTTCCTGACCTTGGCTGTAATTGTGTTACAAGATGACAAAGCCAAGATCTCTCTTAGCATTTCTGCAGTAAGTCAGAGCTTTCAAACCCTACAAAGTGATAATGAGCCGGTTATCGTCCCAGATCACGATTTTCCTGTTAGCATATGACAGAAGCTTGTTCTCTCTGTTTACTTTCTTATTGATTCTAGTGACACCAACGACATGCTTTGTAATAGCCAGTTATCAATATTCATCCGTCCGCAATATGGGTTGGGAACAAGCTCTGTTACTTATATGAAAGACTTAAGTTCATTAGTAAATAATGTTAGTTTTGACAATATTTTGAAGTCCAATGATGAAATCAAATCTATTTGGGTTCTTATTGTAGATGGAGGCCCAGATGAGAACCCCAAATATTTAAAAAATATCAAACAGTATTGCTGAATATTCCGCTCATTTGACCTCGATTATATGATTGTTAGAACTCATGCTCTGGGTTAGTGATCTAGATCGAATAAAATTATTATCAACTCGATCAAAATTACAATTTCAGCCAAATAGTAATTGGTGAAATTGTAATATTGGTTAACTAAAACATTTAGCCAACTAGTAAATATTAAGCTAAGCATTTGTTTATTCTATTAAATTACTTTAGGTCATTCAGCATATAACCCCATTGAGAGGAGTATGGTATCCCTTTTCAAAAAACTTGCAGGCATAGTCCTGCTTGTTGACAAATATAGCACCCACCTTAACTCACAGGGTAATGTTATTGATCTAGAGCTGGCAAAAAAAAATTTGAATATGCAGGTAATGTCCTTTGCAATCTGTGGAAGCGAGATCAAATCTTCAGGAAGCTAGTTGTAACTGAATACATCGGTATGGAAATACCCCAGCTTCAGATGTTATAACCTGGGAATGGTTAGAAATCCATACGAAGATTTGTAGATATTCTCTAGATGTAAAAAAATATAATAACATTAGATGCTGCTCT